AGTAGCGGCGCCAAATGGCATCTAGTAAAGCCAAAGTGGTTCACCCCTACCGCTTCGCATCTTTATTTACAGGTCTCACCAAAGTGTAACCTGTTAGTTTACAAAAACTAGTAAAAGTACATAATGCCCCTCCCCAACCATCATCGCCGAAAATTCTGTAATTAGACTACTTGAGAGAGTGTTCTGAGTGCTGCTTTTGAATATTCAGAAAAGATTCCATTCAGTCGTCATTAGTGCAATAATTACTTATTTTGGTCGAGGGGTCTTGTAATGCACTGGAGTGAGTTTGGCGGTCCACACTGTTTTGTTATGGAAATTTTATTTCATTATGAGATTGATAGGTCTCCTTTTAGGACTCTACTAAGGGAGATCTGTTCACCACAGCTAGTACTAGTCGATGTTGCGTGGTATTTGACACTTGCACTCTAATCGATGATCCAGATTTGATAGACGTATGTATTGAAAGTGAGTTTCCTTGTTTTTTTTGCGTGATGTCATAGTAAATATTTATTCAAAATGCACCACCGATGACCCGCGGGTACCCCAAGGACGTGCTCGTGCTAAACTTTCGTCCTAGTTCAATTAGTGTGGTCTACTGCCTTTGAGAATGATCCACTTTTGTAGCTTTGAGCAACACAGGACACTGGTCCTCATAAGTAGCAGTTCTGACGCCTCTCTGGTTGCTCCGCCCACCGAAACTTGAAAGTTGTTAGGTGCCATTAGCACTAGATGACCCAAAGAAACTATTGGTGATCTAGAGGAGGCAGAATATCGTTTTGGCATAAAACGTGGAGGTCCTGACAGCTAAGTGGGGCTGACAAAGGGTCCTTAGAGTGTTATCCATGATTTTTCGTTTTTTTCCTCCCAGGAAAGTCGCTTGGCCACTGTAGGTTTTTGAGTGAACCCTTGTGTCCCCAATATGCAATCGCACGGTTTGTCATTGACTGTTTGTGAATTAAGCCTGACCGCATTATTATTTCAGAGCTGGTGCCTATTGTCATCCCTTACCGAGTGTTTTATGAGCTGGATAATATGAAGAAGATATCTTCAACTTCATCTTCAGGAGTGCAGCTACGATCTGTAGGTTTATTAGGTTCATTAACTTTGGAAAACGGAGCAAAGGGTGGGGGGGAAGGGGGGGGGGGGCAATAAG